GAGGGTGGGTATGCCTGACACAGGAAGGGGGTGTGCCTGACACAGGAGGGTGGGTATGCCTGACACAGGAAGGGGGTGTGCCTGACACAGGAGGGGGGGTATGCCTGACACAGGAAGGGGGTGTGCCTGACACAGGAGGGGGGGTATGCCTGACACAGGAAGGGGGTGTGCCTGACACAGGAGGGGGGTATGCCTGACACAGGAAGGGGGTGTGCCTGACACAGGAGGGTGGGTATGCCTGACACAGGATGGAGGTGTCCCTGACACAGGAGGGGTGCAGACATGCCATCCACCCTCCAACACCTCGGGCTCGGTGTCTTATTCATCCCCGTCCTTCCCAATCAAGATGATGATTGACAGTTGCCTCACTTGAACACACCTTTCTTCATTTTACAAAAACTCACAAGTGGACGGACAGAGAGAGAGAGGGGAGCAGCCTCACCTATGCAGGTCCTCCCATCATCTCCTAACTCGTAGGGGTCCTCGCAGAGGCACCGGAAACTTCCCTTGGTGTTTCTGCACCTCGCGGAGGCATGGCAGGGGGGGTGGGCACTGTCTGCACACTCGTTCACATCTGCCAGAACGAAAGGCCACACATGTGAGAGGAAGCGGCCGTGCCCCCTCCTCCCCCAAGCGAGTCCCTTTCTGGGAGGTGCTTCTCTCTGTGGAGCCTGGCCCCTCGCCTGTCCCCCTGCCAGATCCAGGGGGAGCCGGGCACCTGCCGCCAGATCCAGGGGGAGCCGGGCACCTGCTGTTGTGTGGCCGCCCTCCTCCCTACACGTCTGAAAGGTGATGAGCAGCAGAAAGCTCTGTTGCAGGCTCTGAGCCTGCAGGGAGTCCACACACGGGCTCACTCAGGCCCCAGTAGTCACAGGAGCCTTCCTCGAGGAAATCAGGGTCTGCCTGGGATAGGGGAATGTGGGCTTTGGCCACAGGCAGGAAGGGGCCAGGGTGAGGGTGGAGCAGCGTCTGCTTTGGCCAGGCAGATGCTCCCACCTGGCCGAAGTTCCTCTGAGAGCAAGGCCTGGGGCCACCTGCCACCGCCAGTGAGGATGGGGTGTCCCCTCCTGCTCTCCCTGCACCTGAATCCGACAACCTAGTACCTCAGATAATCTGCTGTGCATTTTGTTCAAATCACGTTCCTTTTCTGGCCAATTTTGGAAAACAGGCAGTAGCGTGTAGGAGCCCCTCTACATGCCCAGGTGCGCGTTCTCTAGGTGGGACAGGCACTGTCAGTGCCAGGACATGTGCTCTTCCCTGAGCTGCTCTGTCCGGAGGGAACGGAGCTGGCCTGGGTCCAGCCTCACCGAGGGCCAGGCTGGGGGCCGAAACCTCCCGGCACTCCTGTGACCCTGGTGCTGGTGACACCCCCAGACAGAGGGCACCGGGAGGGGTCGAGGGACTCTCCCCGATATCGCCACTGAGTGGAAGAGCTGGCGTCCACATAGGCCAAGGACTTAGCTCCAGACCTGGGCACCCCAGGACAATGAGAACCTGCAATCCTGAGCAGTGAGCGCTCAGGTGACCCAGGGCCAGAGACCTGCGCAGCCTCGAAGGCCAGCTAGTGTGGTCTGCTGCCCACCTGCTCCCCAGGGTGAGGGGACTCCCCACTCCTAACGCAGGGCTCTGGGCGGGGGAGGCTTGGCCTACCCCGCTTTTCTCAGAAACAGAATGGTTGCCATGTCGGCTATGAAAAACGGGCATGGAATCAATGATGCTTATGACAACCATCAGGGTGTTGGGCCCGCGCAGGCTTTCTAAACGGTACAGTCATTAATAATAACGTTATTGATAATGACAACCATTACACAAGAGTGTAAGAAGCCGGGCACCGTGGCTCAAGCCTGTAATCCTAGAACTTTTGGAGGCCAAAGTGGGTGGATCACCTGAGGTCAGAAGTTTGAGACCAATCTGGCCAATGTGGTGAAACCCACATCTCTACTAAAAATACAAAAGTTAGCCGGGAGCAGTGGTGGGCACCTGTAATCATGGCTACTCAGGGGGCTGAGTATAGGTGAACATGTCAAGGCTGTTAAACATATAACATCTTTCTTGGCTAAAGCTGCGCCTGGAACCAGCCCCTCCTGCATCCCATCATGCAGAGCTGTGAAGCACTGGTGCTGTGTGAAGGTGTCTGCAGCTGCCCCTGGGGTAGGGGGGTGCTCCCATCATGATTGCATGAAAATCTAAGTCACCACCCATGGCCCGGACCTGTGATGAGACCCACAGAGTGCGGTTGGCGGCCACTGCTGTGAGCAGCCCTGCCTGGGGCTGCTGTTCCCATCGGCTAACACATCCTGCATCCCCCCCAGGGAGTTCCCTCGGAGCAGCTTCCGCCCCCCTCCTGTGCCTCGCCTCGTCCCTTGAGTTCAGACTCATCCCAGGTATGAATTCCCTGTGGCTGCTGGGAAAAACCATCACCAACTGATGGCTTCATGCGCCAGCAATGCATCGTCCAAGTCAGGGTGTCGGCCGGGCGGTGTTCCCTTCGAAGGCTCTCTCGGGGGGAAGGTCCCTCCTGCCTGCTCTAGCTCCTGGTGGTGCCAGCGTCCCAGGGGGGCCCATGCCTGGCGGATGCTTTGTTTCCAGCGTCCCGGGGGACCCATGTCTGGTGGATGCTTTGTTTCCAGCGTCCCGGGGGGCCCATGCCTGGCGGATGCTTTGTTTCCATCCTGGGTCTTCACATGGTCCCATCTCTGTGTCTCCTCTCCTCTTCCCACGAGGACACCGCACGTTGGATTGGGACACACCCGACAGCCTCATTTTAACTCGGTGGTGCCCACAAAGGCCTTCCTTCTTCATCAGGCCACATACAGAGGTACAGGGGCTAGAACTTGAGCATAGATTTTTGGGGGGCACAGTTTGGCCCATGATGTTCTACCCACGGTCCGTTTATTCTAAGCAGAAGCCTGAGTCAGGGGCCGGTGCTGTGTCGGTCCCCTTCCTGAGGATGGACAGGAAGGAGGGGACAAGTCAGCCCTGGCTGAAGAGCAGCGCTCCCAGCAACAGAGGAAACCAGCGTCAGAAACTGGCAGTGCCCCCAGACACCAGGGCAGCCTGCACGGAGGCCCCAGCTCTGCTCTCAGGACGCTTCACCTTGACTTTCAGGAAGATGCCAATTTTCTTCCACGAAAATGCAGTCCTGGAAGGTAGCTGGTTGGCCTCCTAGAGATTGCTGTGAGTGTTGTCTGAGCCACCTTCCTCCGAGAACAGCAGCCGTTCCTGCCCTGCCTGCCCTGATCCCGCCGGCTCAGGAGACCAGAGACAGCTGTCCAGTTTGCTTGCAGGGTGTTTCTGAAATAGTTGGGGGATTCGAGCTGCTCCGACAGGAAGCCCCAGCCACGGGGATCTCACGCAGAGAGCTCTCAGAACAGTCGGATGGGGACGCCCATTCTGCTGCTGCCTGAAGAGTGACCCCAGCACAGGGCTCCTCCCCTGGGAGGCTCTGTCGTCCGGCATGCCTGCTCCCGGTGCCCTGGGCTGATGCCCACTCAAGCCAGGCACATGGGAGGAGCAGGCGGAGGTGGTCAGGGTGTCTCGCCTTGCGGCCTGAAAGGTGCCTCCCCAGCCTGCTCTCAAGTTACGGCAGGGAGGCTGCACCTGTCCACACCTAGACACGCTGGAGGCTGGGAGAGGAACCCAGTGGCCAGAGGACCAGGTCCAGCTTGGAAATCAGCTGCCTGTAGGAGATGGGGGTGGAGGCCAGCCTTGCTTTCCGAGTTTCTGAGGTGGAAACGTTTGCTGTTGTGTTTCCTCTGAGAAAATGGCCCTGCCAGTTCACCACAACCTTGCCTGAAACTCACCAACTCTTCTCTCTTCCCTCACTGGTGACCCCATTGGTCACGATTCCACGTGCCTCTCCCAAGCCCCCACTACCTAGAAAGACGCCAACTGGGAGCATGGCCAGGTAAGAGGAGGGATCTTGACTTCTGTCCCCAAATTTCTCCGGGAAGATAACAGCCTCAGGTGCAGCTTTGGCGAATAAATTTTCAATGACATTGAATTCTTAATTTACACTGGAAATGTGCAAATGTTATGTAATTGTCACAAAAGAACACACACCCTGTTAAAGGACTGACCTTTGCAGCGGGGAGGCTGGAAGTCCCACCCTTCCTGGGTGCAGGTGAGCTGCTCCTGGCCCTGGAGCTCATATCCGTGCCGGCAGGAGTACACCAGCACGCGCCTCCCAGACTCCTCACAGTGCACGAAGTCCCCGTTCTCCACGCTCTCTGGGAAGCCACACTTGTCCTCTATGAAATGTGGACAGGTTGACATGTCGTCAAACTGCGAGGAAAGAACCACATGCCAATGTCCCCGTCATAGGCGCGCCTGTGCCCTGGAGGGGGCTGATCCCGAGGTAGGGAGCCCTGCAGTGGTCGCTCACTGGCACCCACACAATACCCACTGCTGTTTCCCAGGTCGGCCTCAAAGGCTCACTTCTAGGCCTCCAGTTCCTTTCTTACTAGTGAAGGGCCTGCCCCACCCCATGAGCTGTCCTGAGGGTGTAAGGCAGGGCACTGACACTATTTTCTAAACAGTGAAAAGGTAAAAATCAGCTCCTTGGGAAGACAAGCTTCTTTGCTGAGCTGCACGTGCTGTAATGTTATGTGAAAAGGGACCACGTATCACCTGGAGGGAAGGCCTCCCTCCAAGCCTCCAGGCTCATGCCAGGGATGCTGTCACAAGGCTGGAAGTCTTCGGGGAATTTTCCAACTTGGAAGGCATCGACAGGCACCCTGGTGAGGCCGGTGTTGTCGCAGATGACCCGAGACAGGGAGTGCTTCTCCAGCTCATGCCTCTGCGCATCCGTGAAGACGTGGCTGTTCTCCCACCAAAACCTCCAGAGACAGAGATGGCGCGTAAGGTCATGGTGCATGGAGAACCCCGGGGCAGGTGCTCAGGGCCAGGCACCCACTGCTGTGTGCCGCTGGCCTCCCCTGTGCTTCTGCCCAGACCCTGAGCACCCAAGGCCACGCAGGTGCAGGTGCTGAGGACCTGAAGGAGACGCTGTGGC